TGTTTCTGTGCAAGACTTGCTTTTGTTTCTCATGACAACACAACAGTAATTTTTTTACTGGAAAACAAGAAGAAAATTCTATCAACAGCAAGATTGAACCCAAACCAAGAAAAGGAAGACTGAGGATATCTCTGCCAGAGGGCAGGGTTAGATGGGATACTGGGAAGGAATTCTTGGCTGTGAGGGTGAGGAGGCCCTGGCACAGGTTGCCCAGAGAAGCTGTGGCTGCCCCATCCTTGGAAGTGTCCAAGGCCAGGTTGGAAGGGCTTGGAGCAACCCGGGCTAGTGGAAGGTGTCTGCCCATGGCAGGGGGTGGGACTGGATGGGCCTTAAGGCCCCTTCCCACCCAAAGCATTCTGTGATTTCGCTCTATATTGTTTGCAGTTAACCAGTGCACTTGCCATGTGCAGAGTAACTCTAATCCTCTGGGATACACAACAGGACTTGCAATTTGGAAAAGTACTGTCATATTAACTCCCATAATCACAGCTCTGCAATGTGGCTGAGAACACTGAACTAATCACAGGGAAAAACAAGTGTGTGGTATCCAAGATATACACAAGCTTTAGGTAAATGGAAATGCAAGCCTTAGGTATGTGAGTGCACATCTCCATTCCACAGAGGTTTCAACAAACACGGAGTAATGAAACCTTTTGGAACTCTGGACCTTGCTGGCCGTTTCCTGGAGCTGGGGCAGTGCATTTGGAGCACCTGAGGTGGGATTTCCTACCTGATGTCCTGGATTGCCGACTTCCTGTCCCGCTTTTTGCCCCAGACCTTGAGGCTGTTGACGAGCAGGACGACGAACTCGCCGTTCCTCATGCCGATGGCCACCATCTCCCCGTCGGGGCTGTAGGCGGCACAGCGCGCCGGGTGCCCCAGGGCCACCTTGTTCACCAGCTTCTGTGGGGACACAGCGACGGGCTCACACCTCCCCGGGCAGGGACAGCTGCCAAACACGGCGCCTCAACCTCGCCTCGTTCCCAACAAAGCCGCTCCTCTGTTTCCCTCTAAACATAAACCCGGAGTTTCACGCCCCGACTCGCGTCCCACCAGGCATATGGCGCAGAGCAGGCTTTGGAATGTGCATGGAATTCTCAGGGGGGTTTCATGTTTGCATCTAGTTTGTAGGGTGACATCCAGTTTCACAGCAGAAAAAGCCAAAAAATCAATTTGCTGATCTGTGACTTTAATATCTCCTTACAACTGGTAGCACTTTCTCTTTGCTGATTGTGTTTATAACATATTCATTCCCCTTATTAAAAACGATCCCTGCTAGCTCAGCTAAGGACCTTTTGAAAAGATTTATGTTACCCAGCAGGAGCAGAAACCTTTCTGCAACTTTTTTAAAATGTTTTATTGATCTGTTGGTTTTAGAAATGGTGGTTGTTAGTCAATTTGTCTTGGGAAAAAACCCCTGAAGCAACACGATGGGTTCTACAAAACATTCCCGTTTAATCACAGGCTTTTCCACTTGGGGATACTCACTTTGTCTGCCAGGTCCCAGATCCTCGCTGTTCCATCATTGCTTGCAGAGATAAATATGTCTTTGGAGGGGTGAGTTGCCAAGCCCCAGATCTCCCCTTCCATGTGACAGTCAATCAACAAGTTTGAAGCAGCGTTTTTTTCTCCTACTTCAAGGATTTCTCCATCTTTCGTGCCCACTAAGATTTTCCCCTGTTTGTAGCAGAAGAAAAGAATGGACAGAGGTTGTCAGTGTAACAGTAACATCCTCTCACAGTCTGCACTACAAGAGCTTTCTTTGGCAAATACTTGGAAAAAGCAGATACAGTTTGGAATTGGTTAGTGGCTACTGGATTGGAAATATAAACCAACATTCCCCACCAGTGGGGGTGTTATCAGAGTATGGCAAATTCCAGGGCCTTGGTGTGCCCAGTGCAACAGAGCTCAGGGGACAATCACGGACGTGCAGCATCACACCCTCCTGTCATGGAGCATTTGCAAGGACACATTTACAAGTACAATTTAAACGTGGGCAACAGTGACTTCAGCAAGTCAAACTACTCTCCTATTTCTACGTTTTCCACTTTACCAAAGTCCCTCAGTAATTCTGGGGTTTTTCTGACTTCAATAAAACAAAAGTTGTGATCTGCTGTCCCCCAAGGAAGCACCTGAGCTGTGCCTGCCTTTCATGGGAAGCAAACCTTGCAGGTACCCAAATTCCTTTTGCTGTTTGAAAAGCAAACCAGGAGGTGAGGGTCTGGGTGATGAAATGTGGCCCTGCACTCAGCACTGTCCCTCGGGGGCCTGCCAAGCCCTGCCCTGCCCCTGCTGACCGTGGAGCAGAGGCTGGCACTAAGCATCACAAATGCAGCTTCAAGCCCACCCCTGAGCTCAGGAAGATGAGAAGAAGGAAGAGCAGCAGGGAGGCAAAGTCTCCTCCCCTGTGATGCCATCCAGGCTCCCCCTGGGTGTAGCTCCCTCACCTTGCCCCGGCACACGGAGCGCACGCACTCGATGAGCTGTCCCGTCTCCAGCTGGAAGGCCCGGCACCGCTTCATCTCCTGGTCCCAGAGCTTCACTGCCCCCCCCTCCTTGGTGCTGCAAAGAAGGGGGGGGTGTTACCCAAGTGTCTCCTTCACCACAAATCCCATCTGCAAATCCCATCAGTGTTTTCCTGTCACAGAGCACACACTGAATCATCTCTGCCATATGTAAACTCCTCGCTACTGCGCTATGGAAAGTAAATCAGAAACTAAATGTTTTCACACCTCATGTTTTCGACAGCATCATTAATTTGTTCTCTTGTTCAAAAAAAGACCCAAATCCAATTGTTCTCTTGTCACTTAATCTCAAATCTCTGTCACTTGGCAAATGGTACTTCTGGTAACTTGAAGGCCTTACAGAGTCTCTATTGGGAGGGGTTGGCTGGAGTTTAACAGAATTAAGAAATTAAGAAAATCCCACTTATGGTAGGAGTTCAGGCAACAAGGAGCTTATCCAGGTGTTCAGATCCATCCTTAAGAGGTTCACTGTGACCCTGGTGTGTAACTGCCACCCTGGAGTGTGTCCTCCTTTGGTCCTTGACTTACTGAGACAGCTGGGCAGGTTATGCAAAACTGAGAGTGAACTGCTCCAGCACAGAGCCCAGTTATCCCTGGGGTGGTGGATGAACAGCTCAACACAACAAGCCCACAGGAGTGCACTGCAGGAAGGGGATGTGTCTTACGGCCTCTCCTTCCCTCCTGTCACAATGAGTCCGTCCCGCAGCGTCGTGTACATGGTGAACACGGGGCCTGTGTGAGCTTTGGCCACCAGCCTGACCAGGAAATGGTCCTTCCACACGTAGACATCTCCATTGATGGCACCCGTGAACGTGAGGTTATTCTGCAACAAACAGCAGCAACCTCTGCATTTCTGTTCAGCTCCAACTGAAATCCCTTAAATCAAATTCAGAATTCCTTCATGACCACTCTGGACAGTGGTCTATGGTCTGTGGTCTGGACAGTGGTCTGTGCTGTCACCATTGGTTGTATCACTGTCACACCAAATACCATTAGCAGAGAAAAAGGTTGCAGAGTCTATGTACAAAATAACAGTATTACAGTTTTTTAACCAGTGAAGTGCTAAATAACCAGGGAAGCAAAGAAAATAAAAGCCAGGCAGTAGGTGTGCACAGCCATTAATAAAAACCAGTCACCAACAGACACCCAGTTGTGCTTAGACAGGTAAAGGTGTCAAGGTATGCAGGTGTTAAATCCACATTTCACTAACAAGCACCACCCCCCCTGGGCTGGATTTCAACACAGAAAACTGCAGTTTTAATTAAATCTTAATATACAATTCTGTAGCAAGGAATTTGAACTTACTGCTCCAAAGGCAACAGAAAGCATGGTTTGCATTTTGGCATCTTCCATGGAGCCAATGACTCCTTTCTTGTAGAGCAAAGCACTGCCAGCCAGTGTCCAGAACTTCATGTGCTTCACCCCAACGGACACAAACTGCGTGTCGGAATCCGGCCGGAATTCTACAACAAAGATCCTCTCCAGGTGTCCTCCCCTGCTGGCAACTTTAGCCCCTGTTTGAATTAGGAAAGGATAAAAAGAAAGTTAAATTTACCTGTAAAAATAAGCACTGATACGATTTTATAAAATCAGTTGACCTGGTGCTGGATTAGGGATCTGTGTCCCAGACGCTGAAAGCTGCAAAGCCCGACATTATTTAGTGTGTCAATCTTAATGCATTCAAGCCATAAGGCCCCTGGTTACTCCACTGCACCCCATGGTTTTAGAAAATGCAGATTTAAGGCCCTCACAGCACAAAGTGCCTCCTGGCTCGGTGAAACAGCAGCACAGAAATGTTGGAGATCACCAGTGAGTTCCCATCAGGTGAAACGCACGGGGATACACTAATGAGCTGAGGCACTTTTCCTGTCCACTCCACCTTTCCCAAAGATAATTCTTTCCTGGAAATGACTTCCCCAAGGCCTAGCTACAGCACAGAATTTCAAGGATTTTAAGAAGGAAAAGAAATTGCTTTCCTTAATTTCATGTAATTTTGTATTAAGCAAAACTTCTGCTTACAATAGATGTATACAAAATTTATCACCTTATCCATATTTTCTAGCCCTTTGTCACCTCCCTTAACTGTGACACTCAGAGTAAGAACACAGATCTAGTCCCAAGGCTTGAAAGGCAAAGTGAACAATCACTGTGCACGGTTCTGTTGGGCTGAGGGAAGGTGACTTCTCCGTGGTTTTTACCTTCCTGCCACCTCCACACGGTGATGGTGTGCTCTGGGTCCACCCCCACCGACACCAGCAGCTTGCCAGTGGCACTGAAGTTCACGTAGTTGACCCCTTTGGTGTGGAAGCAGCGCAGCATTGAAATGGTTTGCTTGCTCATGGCATCCCAAATGTGGATTGTGGGAGTTGTACCTGGGGGCAAAGAGGTGGATTAAAGAGGATTAATGCTGGAAGGCCCCAGTGCAAACCAGGCACTCAACATTTAACCTGAACAGACAGAAGTTGGGGGTTTGGTTTTGTTTGAAGAGTAACACTACCGGAACACAGAGAGAAATCATAAGAGCTTGCAAAACACAGGGGGAATCATTGCAGTCCATGAAATCAGACAAGTTCTAAAAGAACAACATAACATTTATGAAGAGCCTCATGCAAAGGAAATCGTAGATGTTTCACTTGTATCTGGGATTCAGATACAATGAGGCAACATGAAACTCGTACAGGACTCTGCCACAATTCACAAAGGAGTCAGCCTTACCTGGGAATTCTGTCATGTCACCTGCATTGTGAGAGCAATGGCAAATGAGGAAGCACCAAGGGAAAACAATAGGTGAAATAAGTCGTGTTTCTCATGCTCAAGTGCCAGCATCAGCACCAGAAGGAAAAAAGAAATTAAAAACTCGAAAAATGGATATGGATTAAATCAACAAAACAAATAAGCAGCAATATTGTTGAACTTTTTTGGGTATATTGGGTTTTATACACAAATATCGCAACAATATTTAGTACTTTTGAGTTTTAAAAGTGGCATTTAAAAGAAAGGCTAAAGACATGCAGGTTTTTAAAATTACTCAATTTAAAAGTGAAATGAAATCTGTAGTTACACAAAGAAGTATCAACCAAACTCAGAAACACTGACCTCAGGGGCCCTAAGAAAAGGGCCTTTAACAGTCACCTTTTCCAGAAACCAGCATTTTGACCAGCCCTGGCACCACGTGCAGGTTTGGGTGTTCACCCCACACTCAAACTGAGTGGCAGTGCTCAGCACAGGCTGCAGATGGTTTGTCACGCTGATCGTTGATACCATTTTCCTGCCCCTTGTTAAGTTACTTCTGTCCTAAAGTTACTGGACTGGAGTCTCCTTCCAGAATGGTCTGAGTTAGGAGTTCTGGCCCTGTTCTTCTTCATAAAGTTAATTATTACAGCATGAAGCTGAAAGGCAGTAGATCTCCTAAGTCATCCCACATTCCCCATACAATGTTTACTCCTGCCAAAGGTCCCAGGGATTCTAACAGGGCTCTCCATGTGAATAATGAACACATAAATCCATACGGTTTCTCAATTGGCCCCTGACTTCTGCTGAGATTTCCCTCTGTTTCTCTCCTTTTCTGCACAGGAAATGGTCCTTAGAGTATCCTCACTGCTAAACAGTGCCTTGGATACAGGAAAGGAAGAGGGCATTCTATAAATCAGACTAATGAGCTGATTTAGGCAGTTTATCAAATCCTGCCTTGTGAAATACGATTATCCTACAATTAACTCCAAAATCCAATGACTCACGACCAGAGATGGAATTGAAACCATAAGAAAAGCCTGAAGCTTGACTACCTCTTCCAAAGGACAGTAACACTGGTAACATTCCCACTGGGAAAAGCCCCAAATCCACCAGTGCCCCCGTGGTTTGTGGGTGGCCCTCAGTGCATGGCTCACGTACCGATCTGGCTGGTGGCCACCACGTTCTTGTACTTGGGGTGCTGGTTCACAGTCAGGCACAGGATGTCATCGGTGTGCTCCAGGTAGAAACTCTGGCTGCCTGGGAAAACCCAAAACCGGATTTATTCCCCCCAGCAGCCACCTCAGAGCCCCTGGAGCAGAGACTGTTTGAGTTGGTTGATGCTCTGCAGGGGATGGGGGAGGACAGTAAAGGTGTCCAGGGCTGGTCCCCTCTCACCCCCAGGCCCATTCCCAAACAGACACACACAGACAGAGATAAAGGTTGTATTTGGGGAACTACCTGTACCCAGGGAATCAGCTCACAGCCACTGCAAGAAACACTAAAACTGCTCCATGAAAGGCCCAGGTCTCCCAGTAACATCCCAGTAAAACCAGGCAGTCAGCAGGAAGCAAAGTGGAGACAAAACCCTCCCAAGGGAACAGGTCCAGAAAGAACAGACAGGGTCATCCATGTTCCCAGGACCATCCATGCTCCTAGGGCCACCCATGTTCCCAGGGTCACCCATGTTCCCAGAGCCACCCACGTTCCCAGGGCCACCCATGCTTCCCAGGGCCATCCATGCTTTCCAGGGCCATCCATGCTTCCCAGGGTCACCCATGTTTCCCAGGGCCATCCATGTTTCCCAGGGTCATCCATGTTTCCCAGGGCCACCCATGTTCCCAGGGTCACAGGTCAGAGGCACACCAGGCCTGGAGTCCCCAGGGCCACCAGATGTGACAGGTTTCCTCGCTGTGCCCCTCCTTGGCAGCAGAACTGGCACCATTTGGGAATAAAATCAAGTCACAATTCCTTTAACTCCTCTCTTTTTTTTTGAGACGTGAAAAAATATGGAGATGTTGGTGCTACAACTTAAGGTCAGATACATTTTTCGTGTTTTTTCTCCTTTACATTACTCAAAACACAAGGAATATTTCTACCCCAACTTGCCCAGGTTGGACTGCACCAAAAAAAAGTTGTTGTGGTGTGACTTTGCTATAACAATTCAAAATGATACAAAGCACGTTACAGCTCCTAATATTTTTGGGGGCACTGATCATTTCATAACCCACAATCTCCTCCTGGGAGAGAAAACCATTCCTGTGTCTTCACTACAGGATGAGCTGAGTGGGAAAAACCGTCAGTCTGATCCACCAGTCGCCCACAGGCTGTGCATTATTTATCAGGATGCAAAACGTGGGACAGCCACAGGAATATTAAAAAGTTAAGGCTTTCAATCAGAACTGTTTCCCAGGTAAAGCATTTTGGGTCTCCAAGTGCCATGTGTGTGGCATTACCAGTGGAGAGGTTCTGGACGATGCCGGCTGCCGCCGTGTGGAAGATGATGTCGGCCCCGTCGTTCAGGTAGTGCAGGTTGTTGCGACAGTCAAAGCCTCTGTAGCCAAAAACATGGTCCAGAGCCAGCTCCTGGTCAGGGAAAACACGGAGGGAACAGTGAAAGGAATGAAGAAACAGGGAGATTTCAGACTTCGGATCACGTGAGCACACTTCTAAATTACACAAGCTACAAATACCTCGTAGAGGCAACAGGATAATTAAACAATAGTTAGTCATCCCAGTTCTGCTCATTTATGGAGGCATGACATTCTCATGGACTGTCTACAACACTTTAAGTGGGCAACTAAGGGACTGCACTTATACCATTATTTCTTTAATAATGTAAATGTTTTGTTTCTGTGCATTTCCATTCAAAACAGTTACGACTTCCAGAACTGATTTCCTTACTCTTCCCATCACAGTTTAATATCTATATATTACATAGATATATAGGGTATCAGATATGGTAAAGAAATAAAGATATTTGCAGAGTTTTCAAATATCATTCTCATAAACTACCAAATTTCAACAGCCCAAATTCTGGCCCCAAAGTCCTTAAAGGAAGTCAAAGTAGGCTGTAGGTAACTCTGTACTTCAAACATTAACCAGAGGTGTAATTGCATCTTACAACAAGCAATTCCCATGGAAATTCCCTGCAGGAACACAGGGACGGTTAATGGATTGCTGTTAAAGGTGAATTCCAGCCCTGAAAACGGATTTAATGATTGTCCCAGACACAACTCCAGCTCCCTTGGAACAATGTGAATGACAGCCACAGACCAAGTGTTGCAAACTGCCCACAGAACAGGGATGGGTTTCACCCAGCACATGTCACTTCTCAAGCAAATGAACAAGTTTGAAGCCAGACCTCAACAAGTTTCTTTTTTTTGTGGACATTGTTCTTCTGCAGTTTTTCGGGTTGAGGAGCAGCTCTGCTGACTGGTGGCCTGAAAGGAACATTGAAAAAAGGAGATGATCAGTATGTTTGAATGAGAAATAAAACCTTCAAAACCACAGCACATGTTTTGTGTGTGAGCAGGAAATGGCCAGTTGTCCCTGCATTAGCTCCATGCCTTTTTTAGAGTTGTACAGTAAACTGACTAAAATCCTACACTTTTTGATGGAAAGAACAGAAATGACATTGATGTGGATTTTGTGCGTGAGTGGCACAACAGACCACCTTACACCATTTAAAAAAACCCAAAACACAATAACATAAATTCATGGAAAAAACCTTGAATGTGAAATGATAGCAAATTGGTGCTTTCAGGAACGATCTAAAAGATTTTCTGCAGCTGACACTTGATCTCTGCCCAACCCTGCTTCTTCTGAGAAACCCCATCCCAAAACCCTGACATGGTTTTAATATGATTTTGAGAAGATTTTATTAAAGATAAAATGATTCCACTTAAATGTACAGGTCACTCATCCATGTGAATTTAAGAGACCAAGGCCAGCAAAGCATTTCTATAGAATTACAGTTGCTAAAATAGCTACAAAGACAGAGACAAAATCTGATGTGTGCAAATGGTCTTTAAAGCCAGATAATCTCTGGTGCTGCTACTGATCCTGCCAAGAAAAAAAGAGGCACAAGGCTAAGGGGAGCATTTGGAAAGCATTCCCACAGTTTGGGATTTCCAAACGGTACATCCTTGCTGTATATTCCATATGCTGTGAAATTTGCTCTTGTCCTTAGACTGCAAGTGCCAGTAAAATTAATTGCAGAAGAATGAAATCCCTTTGGCTTACAGGGAGCTGCTTTTTCTGGAGTTGGGTTTTTATGGGAGGGATTACAGGCAACCACTGACAAACCCCACAGCTACACAGCAAAAATACTGACTTCGGAGGAAAAGTTGAGCTCTAAAATAGACAGAACAAAGCAAACTCACTAAGGACCAACAGCTACATTAGCAGGTGATCTCGTGACATTAGAAGAGTGAAAGAGTTACCTTGATCCCCTTGTAAGCAGCAAACAAAGCCAAGCAAGAAACTTAATAGAGTTTAGGTGTTACTTGTGAGCAGTTACTCATGCACAAGCACTTTCAGAGCCGAGCAGTCATTCCCTGTGGCACAACACGTGCTATCCAAGCATGCCAGCAAGAACTAAAACAGAAATTAAAGAGTGCACCAGTGTACAGACCGGAAACATGGCACCCTGGCACCCCTGGGCACGCTGAGCTAGAGATCCTGGGGGATAGAGGGGAAAAGGAAGCTACAGTCCTGCTTCCTGTACCCTTTACACTGGAGGAGAACGGGACTCCACTGTTTGTTTTCAGATGCCTGACGGGACAGAAGCTGGGAGGAAGCTGTCAGTCTCCTGAGCACTGCGGAGATCCCACACAGTGGGTGCTTGTTCCCTATCCCAGTTCAGGCTGCAGTTTGGCCCATAACTGTGGGTTGGCCAAGTCCCTGCCAGGACAGCCTGTCCTGCTTTGTGTACAGGGAACAAGTACCTTTATTTTCTCTGAGAGGGGCCACTGGAGTCCCCTCACACAACACCGAGCAGCAGTGCCAGCACTGGTAGGGAAGGGCAGGGGAACCTACTGCAAAACTTAATTCTCTTACAAAACAAATGGACTAATTCATTTCAGCCCAGGTTTAGGAGGCCTCTGAACCAGTACTTAGGAAAAGAATCATTTTCTCGTAGGCTTCCTGCTCTTTTTTCTGTTTTAGTGTCATTTCAGAACAGACCATTTTCACATTTCTTCACCTACAAATATCAAAGTTGACGACAAGAGCAAGCCAAAATTTTTATGAAAGCAAGAGAACACTACCACTGTGACATGCTTCATAGTCACCAGATTGTAAGCATGAGGTTTAATTTGGAGACACACACACACAAACACTCTGAGAGAGATCTATTCACATCCACACGAACACAGATGTTGTGTGCATTCATATATACATAGACATGTATATATACACACGTGTGCAGTCACTGCCTTGTCACCATCTCAATACAACGAACGGAAAGCAGCACATTTTGAACATTTTAAGAGTCATTTCATTTTTAACAAGCCTATAACTACACCTGATTTGATTTGAGACAGAAGATGACACTGTCAAGACAAGAAATCTGCACTGCAGCAAATGACATCCCTTTGCCCTTTTGGACCTGTGCAGCCTGCAAGGCACATTCCCAGCGAGCTGGGCTTTTCCTGGGCTCCGTGTTAGTACTTACTTGACAATTCCCTGCCTCCAAAGGAAAGCAAGTTAAAACATAACACAAGCATTAACGGTTTCTTTCCAGCAATTTAAAATAAATTAATTACGTTATGGGATGGATGAGTTCCAGGAAAGATAAGACACAGTCAGACATTAGAGGGCTTTCAGTCCTTTAGGTACTGTGAATACAGCAGATAAAGTCCCTGTTACTCATGACAGCCTCGAGGATATTCTTACACGAGCACACACGGCTGTGTCAGTGAGAGAACTCCATCCTCCCGCTGACAAACTCTCACCCGCCACCTTCATGCAGGAATGTGAAGAGAGAGGTGTCCTCAGCAAGGCCAGGACACCATCAGGAATGGCCTGGGAGGGAGAGCAGTCTGAGCAGGGCTGGGGTGAACAGGCAGCACCAGGATGGAGGATAACAGACAGACACACCGAGAGCGGGGCTGGGGGGACAGGGAATGGGGTTTGGAAGAGTGAAGCACCCTGAGGGAGGAATGAGGCATGATCTTAGAGAACAGGGCCAAGCTAAGGGGGAGGGGGGGGTTAGATCAGTTTAGATGGAAAATAAAAGAGAGAAAAAGTAGATCAAAAAGTGTTAGGATAAGTTCTGTGGGAGGGGGATATAACCAACTCCTGTTCCCAGAGCATAGGACGTAATTGCTGCCTGATCAGAGATGCCATTGGCAGCAGGAATACATTGGCAAACCCACCAAGGTTCTGCTCTGAGGCCAATGGAAGCAGAATTGGAACTTTGGAAAGCGTCACACGAAAGGGACCAACAAGGGGATGTGGAGCAGGAACAGATGGATAAGAGTATCCTGTCTCTTAGTGATGGGCTGAGCTGGCAGGAATGGGCAGGGAAAAGCTGCAGAGTCCAAAAGGAGACTAACACATGGTTGGGAACAGCAGAGGGAACACACTTGGATGCTACACAAACATGGGCAGGACTGCTCCTGAGAAGAGAAAGAGAGGCTCAAAGAGAGGTCAGATGGAGGTTTTGTGGGACAACAGAACGAAAATCCAGGATCTAAAAAAATATACTGTTCATTTCAGAAAAAATGCAAAGGCAGTTTTTAAAAGTGCCCTTCACAGGAGGGGACTCCCCAGTGCTCCCAGACTGCTGCAGAACTCCTAGAGCTGTAAGAAGGGATTTAAAGATTTTGTGAATTCTAAACCCTTGGATTTTCCCATCCCAATCCACAGAGGAGTTTTACATTGAACTTCTTCTGCTGTTACTTCTTCTTACCACTTTTTAGCTAACTTAACAAAGAAAAATAGGATTTAACATGAAAATACCCTGCTCCCAAATACAGTGGATCAAAGCAAAGCTGAAACAGAACTAGAGGGAAATATCAATAGGAATCTAAATTATTTTTCAAAACTGTAGCACTGGAAAAGCCTTAGCATGGTTATAATATTTATAATTTCACATGTATGCTGATGCACTCTTTAAAAAAAATAGTAAAAAATAATCCAAAAGTGCTGCAGAATGTATGGTGGGGCCAGCCAGGCCCTGTCAGGGCAGCAGTCATTGCATTCCCACATCATTCCAGCTCGGGGTCCAATTGGGAAACAAGTGATTAATAAGGAGGGTAATCCTTTGGAATGGAATCTGAGGGCCATTACTTTTTAACAAGTTACTTTTCAACAAGTTCAGCAGGGCCCAGGCTGGCCCTGCTGTACTAGGACCTGCCGTCCCTCACACCCCAAACCTGCCGTTCCTCACACCCCAAACCTGCCATCCCTCACACGAAACCTGCCATCCCTCACACCCCAAACCTGCCGTCCCTCACCCCAAACCTGCCATCCCTCACACCCCAAACCTGCCGTCCCTCACCCCAAACCTGCCATCCCTCACACCCCAAACCTGCCGTCCCTCACACCCCAAACCTGCCGTCCCTCACCCCAAACCTGCCATCCCTCACACCCCAAACCTGCCGTCCCTCACACCCCAAACCTGCCGTCCCTCACCCCAAACCTGCCATCCCTCACACCCCAAACCTGCC